GTCTTATTCCCATTCTCATTCAGTTTAAGATTTTTTTTTTTTTTTTTTTTTTTGCTTTTTGTGATTTCTGGGGCTTATGTTTATTTTGAAGTCTGTTGCTCACTTTCTAAACATTTGAAGTTTTATGATTATCTTTCATTATCAATCTCTAGCTAATTTCCACTGTGGTCAAAGAAAATGCTGTCTCAGTTTTTTTGAAATTTGTTGAGACTTGCTTTAAGGAACAGCATATGGTTAATTTTGGTAAATGTTAAACTTGAAGAGAACGAGTACTCTGTTGTTGTTGCTTGCAGTGTTATACGTATGTTATTTAAGGTAAGTGTGTTAATTGTTTTGTTCAGATCTTCTGTATCCTTACTGATTTTTTTGTTTGTTCTGTCAGTTGAGAGAGATTTTTCTGGTTTTCTACTGACTGGATTTGTCTGTTTTCTCTTTTACTTCTGTCAATTTTGCTTTATAGATTTTGAAACTACATTGTCCTAGTCTTTTTCTGTTAAGTGGCATATTCAGACCATTTATACATACTATAATTACTGATATATTTGGGTTTGTTTTCTATTTATCCCATCTTTTTTATGTTTCATTTTCAGTTCTATTTTATCTTCTTATGATTAATATACTATTTTAAATTATTTTAATTCTTCAGCTCCCCCTGTCCCCATATTGGCTTGTTATTTTTACATACTTTTAATGGTTAAAAGAATTAAATATTGCTTCTGCCTATTCTCTCCCCACTCCCCCCAGAATTCTAATTATATATATATTAAATCTGTTCACCATGACTTGTATATATTTTTATAGTCTTTTCTGTATTTTTCAATCTTTTTGCTCTTCAAGCTTCAGGCAAGATATTTTCTAAAGAACCTATATTCTATTATATCAGATCTCTCTTCTGTTGAATACGGATTGCTGTCATTGAGTTCTTAGTTTCAGTTATTACATTTTTTTCAATTTAAGAATTTTAATTGTAATTCTTTTAAAAAATAGATTCAAGTTCTTTGGTACAGTTATCTTTTTTTTTTTTTGTGACCAGTAAGGGGAATGCAACCCTTGGCTTAGGGTCGCCCGCACCTCGCTCAGACAGTGAGCGCACCAGCCATCCCTATATAGGATCCAAACCCGTGGCGGGAGCGCCACTGCGCTCCCAGCGCTGTACTCTCCTGAGTGAGCCATGGGGTCGGCCCCTTTGGTACAATTTTCTTTCTTCTCCACTATTACTGAACATGTTAACCAAGATAATTTTAACATCTGTACCTGATAACACCAATAACCATATCATTTGTGAGTTTGTTCCTATTGTCTTTTTTCAATTAGTCCTGTTTGTTAAGTCTGTTAATTTTTAAATGAATGCTTGTTGTTATAAATTAAAAGTTTAGAAGTTCTAGATTATCTCATTTTTGTCCAGAGAGGTTTTACCTAGTCATCTGACAGGCACAAAGAATGGTGGCCAACTCCAGGCTGTGTTGCAGTTTTAAGTCTCCTCTAACCTTTGGTTGTCTCTGCTCTTAAGAGTGTAGCCTGCCAGGCATTCCAATTGAGAGCTTGCTGTGTTATCTGGATCCTTTCCCCTCTGGTGGTTCCTGAATGCCAGTTTTTGTCTCTTATACATATTGAGACTAACAAAACTTCTGTTTGCTTTCCAGGGGCTTTCTTTTTTTCCTCTTGTCCTGCACAACTGAGTGTCAGACTTACCTCCTTTTTTATTTCCCTTCTCACCAGGACTTGGCCTGTGTTTCTTTACCTGTGTTCTGCAAATAGTATTCTCTCTCACGTCCTAATACTTCACCTCATAATCTATCTTAAATTAGTTTAAGTAGTTCCCGATGAGCTTTTTTTGATGTCTTTTATTTTTTCCAAATCCAAAATGAAATTGCATATTATTTTCTTATTTTTCTTTCTTCTTAGGTTCTCAAGTCCTAGCTGCATTGGCAACCTCACACTTTAATTTTTATCTCTCCAGTCTTATAAAATTGCTAAAGGCCTTATTGGATTCTCTACCCCCTCACAGCTGCTGTATGCCCAAATTCTCAGCCTTTTGTCTTCTGCCAAAATGACAGATTTCCTGAGAGTTAAAGCTTGTAGAATGTTGAATTACTTCTTGATTTCCTTCTCTCTAGGGTCTTAGTCCTTCATTTCTTGATCATCTTAGTACCTTCAAGTAGATTTTTAATTTTATTTTATCAAGATTTCTAGTCATTCCTGTTGAGAGTATTGGTATGCCCAAGCTTCTCTGTCATAGCCATAAAAGCTATGGTTAAATTTTAATGTTTTAATTGTTTTATTTTAAAAAATAGGTTAATAAAAAGTTAACAAAAAGTAATTCCTGCACACAATAAAAATCATACAAACGATAATAAACAGTCACCTTTCTTCCCGTGTTCCAGTCTTACAGTCTTTTTGTCTGGAGGCAAAGTTGCAGTTTATTATGCATCTGTCTTATGGTGTTCATATGTAGATGTATGTATACATACCTCTTGTTAACATATTTTAAATTTTAATTATGAGGTATTTCAAACATGCTCACAAGAATAGAGAATATAACAAAATTACTTGTACTCACAACCCAGGTTTAAGAAATGTTAGTATTTTTACCATATTTTTTTAGGTCCTCTTTATTTATTTTTAGGAAATAAAATGGTGTAATACAATTTAATTCCTATTTAAAAAATCTATTTTTTTAATTCTTTTTTTCTATTTGGTATGATTTTCAAGATTTTTTTTATGTTGATATATGCAGATCTCTCTCAATTGATTTTAATTTATGTATGGCATTTCTTTAATTACTCCCCTGCCAACCCCCTTTGCTTTCTTGTTGTTTGTTTTGTTTTGCCTTTTTAACATAAATATGAACATATTGTACCTTATATTCTGGACTTTACATTTCTCACAAAACCTCTTTATGTTTCAAATATGTGATGCTAAAAAAGTTTATTTTGCATCCCTTTTCAACTTGATGGAAAACTAAAAAAACAAAAAAAAACTTTTCTTTTTTTTTTTTGGTGGCTGGCCAGTACAGGGATCAAACCTTGGACCTTGGTGTTCAAAGTTTATTTTGGTGGACAAGTTTATGAGAGTCTTTAATGTCATGGTGCTACAGTGAGATTTGTATAGGACATTCTGATGAATTGCAGACATATTGCAAACCTTTGGTATGTCCCAAGATTTATAAATAGTCCATTTAGGAAAAATTATAAATTAGCCTGACTCGTTTCTTTACCTGAGTACTCATAATATGATATGATATGATATAATATAATATAAGGGTACTTCAAAAAGTTTATGGAAAAATGAGATTGAAAGAATACGAATATTTCCATGAACTTTTTGAAGACTCCTTGTATAATATAATAACATAATACACAAATATTTCTCCTTAAAAAATGTTTCTTCTCTCATTCTTCTTAAGACTTGATTTGAGAATGTGTATTTAATTAGCTTAAATAGTAATTAGTTTCAGACAAGCTTTTATTCCCCCATCTTTTAATTTAATTTAGCAAATCCTTATGTGCTTTAAGAATGGCAGTGTATATTATTATCTTATTTTTCTTCCTTTTTTAGGTCTGCGATATTTTGATGGCATTTTATTCAATTAAGGTTTATTGATTCATTTTTATATGCTTAGCACTTTGCTAAGTATAATTGTGGATATTAATGAAAGTATAAGACATTATCTTGGTCCACACAGAGGTTAAAATTTAATTGAAGAGAAATAAACTGACCATTAGACCACACTAAAGTGCTGATGGTGTGAGGTGAGATTTGGAGTGGACCATAAAGGATTATGAAGATTTGATTTTGGAAAGTGGAGAGGGGAAGATCTTTACAAGCAACAACTCACAAGTGAAAAGAAGATAGGGAAAGAATGAAGACTTTAACAGCTATGTAGCTGAGGATAGATTTGGGATATGGGAAATTAGGTGGATTAGAAGGAGAGGGTCATCAATAGTCCAGGAAGATTGGAACTGATGAAGTAGAAAATAAGATGCCCATATCAATTGCAGTCAAATGCTCTAACCTTGAGCTATACATCCCAAGATGTCCATATCAATAGCAAGTAAGTTAGAGGATGAATCAGTATTTTATGAAGCTGAGTGGATCAGAGCAAGGGGAAGGAGGTCAACTAGGAGGCTTTTAAGAAATGTGGAAAATTTAATTTAGATACAGCTTTCAAAATAGGCCTGTGCCCTTTGGCCCAGTAATTCCGTTTCTAAGACTAATAGGAAAATATTCTGAAATGTGTAGTGTCTAAAGAGACACAGAACTGGATCAAGGCAACATTTTAAAGTAACTTGTTTTTCTTTTTTGTCCCTGCCTCCTGGTACCTTTCTCCAAATCCTTGTTAGTACAGTGGTGGGGATTTTTCCTGCTGTCTGAAACACAAGAACCTAGCAACTGGGTTCCCCTGAGTTGGAAGATCTGGCAGCTATTAGAATAGGCACAGATTCTTAATTAGGGTTTCCCATAGAACTCTCTTAAGAGAATTGATAGATGGGCTTCTGGGCTGAAATTATATGTAAGCTTTTAGATTATCTGCATTTTCTAGACAAGAGTTTCAGATTCTGAAAGAAGTCATCATAAAATTAATAATTATTGCTTAAAAGATTTACTTCCTACGAATCTCGGTCTTACCTCTTCAGAGACTGCTGGCACCAAGTAGAAAAGAGACAGGTGATTATATTTATATCAAACCATATGAAGTTGCCAATATTTAATTTAGTAGTTAGTGACATATAAAAACATCAATTTCATATGGTCCAAACTGATATATCCTTAAATAACTTTCTAAGCATTTTTTAAATGTAAAAGTATTTACTTTACAAGGAATGCAGGTTTTAGTTAAGCAATATATGTTCAAATTTGTGTTTAAAGGTACTCATTTATTTCATTAACATAATTGAGTTCTGATTGTATTTCCTCAGTTTCTACATTCCATAAACTTAAATATGTTTAGTTTTGGGTTATGCAGTATTTCTTAGGAGTATTTCTCTTGTGTATTTAAGGTTTCTACTGTGGTAAAACAGGACAGGGAAATGATGGAAAGAGAAATGAAAAATAGAGAAATCAAAAAAGGTATACGAGCATGGTATAGTATAAGAATGATGAATAGGTTCAAATTATTCACTAACTTCCATTGTTGGTCAGGCTCTGCCTAGAGCTCTTTGCTAATGAGAATTCTCAGGCCCTGTCTGGGTCAGGGGCAAAAAGTGCAGTGATAGATCTGCCCTATCTCTCATCTGCCATGAACAGAGGAGGGCTGAGTAGTGTAACTCATGCCATTGGTGTTTCATTATTTTGATTTAATCCGAATTTCTTTGTTAGCCAGAGTATTACATTTCTTCAAAATGATGGATTATATGACTTTCATAAGTGTAGTTTGGCAGTTGAAACTTTGGATCAAGAAAACTAAATTTAACTTAAACTATTTCCTGGAAGAGTTCAGATAACCAGCAACAATACAATTTAGCTTGAGGTTTATTTCTTTCCTTTGTGTTTTGATTTTTTTTTTCTCAATTTTCATTATCCCCCCCCTTTTTTTAATTAAGGAAAAAAAAAACCCAAGAAAAAATGCAATCAAAATTAGGAAACACTTTAAACATATTTGGTGTTTTGTTCTCTTTTTCCTTTGTAGGTTGCTTTCTGATTCTGAACAGCTCAATATTTTAAGAAAAACAAGATCTTATATAAAACAGAGAAAGTTTGATGAAGCAGTAAGTATACAAGCCTTGTAGGCATAAATAACTGATTATCATTTCGGGGGTGGGAGGGGTGAGGTATGGCTGTGGAGAGCAAAGTGCGCAGGCCAGGGAGCTTTCCTGAGCCCTCAAGGAGGGGTTGAATTTCCTGAGTAGCTGCTTTAGCCATGGACATACTTCTCTTCTTTCAGATAATATTACAGATAAATTTTTCTAGGTTATTATTAGAAATGAACTACTACCATTTTTTAAATGAAGGAATATATTCCAAGTTTCTGTCACCTTCTATATAATATTTTAGAATACCACATATTTGTCATTTGGAATTATCTATACACTATCAGAAGTCTAATGATTCATGTTGAAGCTTTGACTCTTCCCAGTTCCTACCCCACTATGTATTCCATTAATTCTTTTCCCTTGTTAAATGGTCATATAATTTTAAAGTAGGAAAGAATTGTTTTCAGTTTGTATAATTGCCTAAGTAATTGCCAGTCCATGCATTTCTAATGTTTATTTTTTGGTTTTAAAATGTTAAGCTATTCTTCTCCTTCAAAATATTAAGCTGTTTTAATGATGTTTTATAACTGATTTGGGTAATGTGACATGAGAAAGTAAAAAGTGATATAAATATAGCCATCTTCATTATTTGGGACTTGAATTAGAGATCCTTCATTTCTTTCTTTCATGTGTCATCTGAAGATCATTCCTGCAAAATGATCATTTTAAAACATTTCATATTATAGATAGTTTACATTGAAAGTGGCTTTTCTTATGAAGATTAAAAAGTTTATTTTATTCTGTATTTTTCTCATACTTTCCAAGAAGATCCTCAAACAATTAAAATCTATTCTCAATCCGTCATCTAGTTACTCACTCTAATTTTCATACAACGGTCTGGCTGTTAGAAAGTTTATAATTTTTCTTTCTCTGAAATTTAGATTTTTATCATTCATTCCATGTGCAAGTTATATTTTCCTTTCTCCATAGATTTCCCTTTGCAAAGAGCTGATTCATCTTGCATTGAAAGGATTGTCCTACTATCACACATATGATCGGTTCTTTTTGGGCATCAGTGTTGTTCTTGGTTTTGTGGGATGGACATCTTATACTTCTTTGTTGATCATCAAGTCTCATTCCAACCTTGCAAGAGGTGTTATTAAAGAAGTTAAGGTAGGTTCAGAAAATATAATGAAGATTCAGATGATAGTGTAAATTCACTAGAACTAAGGAAATAAATTTAATTAAATCAAGTATAATGAGTTTATAGAATGTACAAGTCATTGTTCTAAGCCAACTCTTATTTATCTTTCACTTGCTTTTGTTGTATTGGGTCTGTTTTCTGTTATCTCTGTTTCTTCAGTTGAGAAGAAGATGTATTAATAATAATGGCCTTGTGACTTAAAAAGGTTGTAAAGATAGCTATATAAACAATTTAAATTCTTCTATGGTGTTAATGATGTTGATTTTCTGTTCTTTTTTATAACTAGTCAGCATATTGTAGGTATTCCATATCTTTCTAGTATAGATGGCCATAAAACTACTTCAAAGCAGTATATTTAACTTATCTGATATTAAAAGTGATAAAATCATTTATTCAAACTGTTCCTTTTTAAATAATATGATTTTCTAGAATTATTCTTACCTTCTTTCAACTTTCTGAGATTTCTCAAAATACAAATTTCCAGAACTTTCTACATATCCTCATTTCGAGTTTGTCCCTAATTTACTCTACTTTCAGTGCAACAAATAAAAAAACCTCTTCAATAGTACTTCATGTTACTGAGAAAATATAACAGTATATATATGTTTTTACTGCATTAAAACACTTTACTCTTAAAATATATTGCTAACTGTCATTTACAAGGGAGAATATGCCATTTCCATTTCCTTTGCTTCATTCTCTCTAATGATTTATTACCATGTGCAAATCCTCTAACAAGTAATATGTTTTGGTGGTGTGTTTTTAATAGTAGTAGTCTACAAACATTTCCAGTGGTAACTTTCACAATTTTATATTTTATTTCTCTGTAATGGAAGGAAGACCATTAGAGCTTATTTCAATTTTTTATAATGTTTAATGTACCTAAAATAATTTCCCCCCAACTAATTTTAATTATTTGAATGTATGTCAAGTTGGCTAGAATAGCAGTAATTTACTACATGGTAGAAAAAGAAACAGAACGCTTGTGTTTTAGTAATGGATATATGTATACCTAGGCATTCTACTGAGTACTTGAAGTATATTCTGCCATCTTAGATTTATAACAGTGCTGGTAGTAGGCATCATAATTTCTGCTTACGAAAGAGGAAACTGAAGCTGAGGGTGATTAAGTAATTTGGTAACGGCTAACTAGGATGTGGGGACTGAGGCTTGAATCCAGAGCATTCTTGTGCCAAAGATTGCCTTTTTATCTTTATCCTAGTGCTCAGGTTATTGAGAAAGGATAGGATGTTTTTAGATTGATACATCAACAAGATTTCATAGCTGATAATTCTTCTTTATTCATTAATCTGATAATGCAGCCAATATTTAATTGAGTACAGTACAATGCTAGACACTACATAGGCTATACAAAGAAATATAAAACTCAGATTCTGACCTCAAGGAGCTTAGGATTAAAGTAGGTAAGAGATGTACACACATAACCACCTTACCAAATATAGGTCACTATATCTACACTACACTACATAAGGCAACTTTAATATATGTTAAGTATTTGAGGTGATACAAAGACTATGATATTTTAAATAAAGGAGAGCTTACTTTATTTAGCTAGATGATGATAACAGGAAAAAGTAAGTCTTGGTGGAAATTTAACAGTCAGACTGCAGGGAGAGGATGAAAATTAAAGCAAATTGAATGATATAAATGCAGGCAGAGTTGGTAAAATATGTTATTACACTGAGATAATAAATAATATTTATTGAGCCCCACTGTACCAGGACTTTCCTGGGTGCTTTACATACAAGGGTACTTCAAAAAGTTCATGGAAAATGGAATTGAAAGATAATATGAATCTTTCCATGAACCTTTTGATGACCCCTTATGGGTTATTCAGTTAAGCTTAACACTACCCTAAATTCTGTGATTATAATTCTCATAATATGGATGGGGGGATTTAGGCTCAACGAGACATGCAATTTAAATAACAGAACTTATATTTTCTAACATTTAAATTCTTGCTCTTTCTACACCATGCTGCCTTCAAAATAAATAGTTCAGTTTGGGTGGAACGTGAGAAATGTATTCAAGGGACTGATAAGAGACAATACTGACAGTAAAGATTAGGCCGAAGTAATCAAAGGCCTCAAATGCTAGACTATAGCACTTATATTTTATTTGGTGAAGAGTTGGTGTATCAGGGTTAAACCAGAGAAGCAGACCCAGTAGGAGAGAGATATACAAGGGTACTTAAAAAGTTCATGGAAAAATAGAATTAAAAGATAATACAAATCTTTTCAAGAACTTTTTGAAGTGCTCTCGTATATTAAGAGCTTTAGTGTAAGGGATTGGTTTATGTGATTGTGGGGGCTAATTAGGCAAGTCCTATGTCCATAGGCCAGGCCATCAGGAAGGGCAAACTGGAGCTCACAGAAAAAAGCTGAAACTGCATTCAACAGGTGTAATTTCTTTTTCCGGGAAGCCTCAGTTCTGCTCTTGATGCCTTTCAACTGATTAAATCAGGCCCACCCAGATTATTTAGGATAATCTCCCATACCTGTAAGGGAGTGAGAAATGAGCTTGCAACAAATATTGTTCTCCATTGCCAGATGAGGAAACGTGTTTCAGACAGGCTAAATGGTTTAGTTAAATTGACAAGTAAGTAGAACGGCAGCATCAGAATTAAAAGGTCTGACTCCAAAGTTAATGTCAATTTTATGTGACAGTGTCCCCCAGGTTATAGAGGTCTTTTCTAATTTATTACTATTACAGGAAAGTGCAATGACTAGTCTCTTTCCCGGATATGTAATTTGCTGCCACAGTTCCCCTTAATTGAAATTTGCATTTAATTTCTGTATACTTTTACCTTCTCCTTTGTTCTTGCCAGTTCTGATGTCTTATGCTTTGAAACTAAACATCTTTATTTTGTCACAGGTCTACCCTATTGTTTTCCCTTCTTCTCTTATTACCTAGTGAAGTCCCAAAATATTAACCCCTTAAACCAAGACCCATCATTCTGTCTCCACCTATATAGTTTAAACTCCTTGAAGGACAGCTCCTGGTACAGAACATAGCATAGAGTATGCGACTTAATAAATGTTTGTTGGATGAAGTAGTAATCACAACACACATGGCATGGTTTGTTATCATCAGTTGTTTTGGGGGGCCTGGGAAGTCAATTCAAGATTAAGTAGAAAATGTCCCCCCTCTTGTTATTTATAATCCTTTCAATGTTACTTCATTTTCCTGCCTTAGTAGGAACAGCTAAACCTAATTCTTTTCTTTAAAATTTAGTTTCCTACAAGTAGGTGTCATTTCTAATATCTACTACTGTATGTATCAAAGGATTAGACAATTATACTATATTGTATTGACTAAAAAATCCCTTGAGTTCTTTTTTTTCAGAAACACTTGTAAACTTCTTTTCTTATTATTTTACTGTTCTCAGAGTGATGTAAAACCAGTCCTCATCCCTTACAATGACCAGCTGCCTCAGCCAATGTCAGCTTTAGAGACTCCATCTGTGCACGTCTATTTGAGTTTTGCTCCTTCTTTCCCCGTACGCTTGTTAAGGGACCTCATTACTATCTCTCACATCTCCATTCCAGTGCCATTTACTGATTAGTTTCGTAATGATTGCTGGGACTAATGCAAAGGTGAAGCAAAGGTGAAGCAGAGGTGAAGCAGGGGAAGAGAGAATAAAAATAAGTAATGATAGCAGTCATCATTAGTAAGCAGTAGTAATATTCTGGGCATTTTGTTAAAATCTTCACATAATCTCATTTAAACATTACCAATCTTGATAAATAGGTATGGAATTATTATTCTCACTTTATTGATGGTGTAAAACTAAGTCTCAGAAAGTTTTGTATTTTGCTTATGGTTCACACACTGAGCATGTGTCAGGCAGGGCCAGGATTTCAATTCTGATCGGTCAAGCTCCAAACTTAGTTACAGTACTGTGTTTTATACCCCTTTCTACAACTATGCCCTAATTTATCCTTGTTTCTTACTTCCTTTCTGATGACCTTTTATGCCAGTAGGGAGGAACTAAAAAGGAAAAACAACTCTTGCTTTTTCTTCCAAAATTCTCCTACTTCCAGAAGGCAGTTCTTAATTATCACATTATTTAGCTTTGACTAGCAAAGCAAGGGAAAAGCAAAGAGAAAACAGAATAGAACTAAGAGAGTACCACATTATCCTTCCATTCCTGTTTCCATTCCATTTCCCCATTTTCTTCTCTCCAGGTATGCTGTTGGGAAAATAGAATAGTTTGGTCAGGGGCCTCTCCTCGGGTCCAGTTGGGTGTGGTTCAGCATCCTTTGTAAGCAAATTGTGTGTGTGCGTGTGTGTGTGTGTGTGTGCGCGCGCGCGTGCGCGCGCGTGCAGGTAGTGCGCATGTGTGCCAGTGTATCTTTTTAGTTTTGTTGCTATTCACGTATTCTTTAGAGAGAGAGAGAGGAGTTTTAGTGAAGCAGGCGGGCAGGCTCAGCCTCGGGCATCCGCCTGGCATGGCCATGCTTTCTAACCTATGGCTCCAAGGACCTTTTGGCTGGTTACCTAGTTCATAGACCTGCGTGACGGGGTCTGGTGACCCAGCCTGGTGTGTGACCGGTTTGGGGACCCAGTCCGTGAATGGGCTTGAGGGGTCTGGGAGCTCCAGACCCAGTCCTAGGGCAACAACCGGCCCAGTCAGCAGGATTACCAGCAGGTAAAAGAGCCAGCAACTGGCCTGGTCGCCTAGCTTTACAACTGGCGTCACGAATGGGATTAAGAGCTCCACAATTGGTGCTGTGAGGATTCCAGGCTTTAGCCTGGCACGACATATGCTTAACCTCTTCTGGAGACACTTTGTACCCCTTTCTAACTCCTACTTCATGCCCTAGAACTCTTGTTCTTGGCATTACGACCTCCCCATAAGTGTATTCTTTTCCTGCTCATTGGAATTTCTGTTCCAGACTCTTGCACCATTATACCTGACCCAGAGAAGCATGGGCCCGTGTAGCCTTTGGAGACTATAACTAGTCACTTCCATTGAGGAACTCTCCCTTCAGTCTGGCAGGTGTTTGGGAAGAATAGACATGACTCAATGCATCTACTGTGTTTGAGTAATGGAGAGTGAAGGGTGGGCAGCGTGTCAAGTTAGAGCTTGAATAGATAGAAATATTGTTCCAAATGAAGATTAGGTCCCATACTTTATTATGGATTAAACAGACTGTTGTGAGCTAGCCAGAGAATTCAATCAACATTTGTAAAATTGTTCCTAACAAGAAATCTGTTCAGAGTTCTGAACAAGTTACTTGCAAACAAATTTTAGCCATAGTCACTTTTAAATTGAGAATTGCTTAATTGTAACAATTCCAAGGTGTCCCATTTTTCTTCTGCAGTTTTCTCAAATGACAGATTTTTTTTCTATTTTTTAACACAACTCTGATTAATCATCTAGTTGTAGAACCATTGAAAGAAAGTAATATGTTTTCTTCACTTTATAAAATCTCTTTTAAAAACCTATCAATTAGCATGGGTTTGGAAGTGTTTTAATGTTTTGTTTGATTTTCAGAAACCAAGCCATCTCCTGTCATATACCTTTGTAGCTGCTGGCCTTTTTATAGCATTTTTCTTGCTGATTCAAGCCTGTCCCTGGACTTACTATGTATATTGTTTGTTACCACTGCCAATATGGTATGCAGTTCTAAAAGAGTAAGTAATGCACCTTGCTGCTTTGTTTTTCACTTCATTGACAGTTAAATCTGTATTTAAAATGCTTTAAATTTCTGTAGCATGTCATCAAAGATATTTATAATATTCTTAAATCTCCAAACCCTCTCACTTTATTTATAACTGCATAAATGTTGCATATAAACATCCTTTTTGTTTTACCTTGCTCTTTTGACTTCATCCTTATTGCTCTGAGGTAGCAGTGACCTTGCTCTCTTTTTTGTGTATCTTTTGTAAGAAAAATCTAGAATAAAAGTAACGTAACTAATATTGATTGTACTGTGTCTAGAGTAACTTCCATTTTGAACTTATCTCATTTTCTGATTCAAGCATATGAGTGTACTTCAAAAAGTTCATGGAAAAATAGAATTAAAAGGTAATGAAAATCTTTTTATGAACTTTTTGAAGTACCTTCAGATCTTCTTATTTTTCAAAGAGATTTGCATGTTTTTTTCCCATACATTTTTTGCCCTTCCTTTCTTAGCTATCATGTAAACCTAGATAAATGAAACGTTGTTGCTAAATCTAATATAGTAAGGTATACATAGAGATTAGTCCATATTATTAACATGTGCTGTGGTTCTATCTTTGAGTACTTCCTTACAAGTTGGATTTAAAATGGATTCTTAACATTGTAGAAAACATCAGTAGTAAGGCTATCAGGTGAGTCTCAAGCACATTTAAATAAAACCACTGAAATGTGGTACTGGTTCATATTGCAGACTCATGTTGCAGATCTTGTTGATTTCTGTGTTTGCACCAGTAATCTAGAATTTAAACTTAGCCTTGGACATCAAAGTATCCTCTGGGGAAACCAGAACCCAAAGGAAACCAGGGAATGAGAGCCAGAATAAGGGTTTGCTAACATGTGCATCATGACACCATGCGCATCATGACACCATGCGTATTTTTATTTTAACTCCACCTTTTACTACTTCTTTCATCCTTTAAAAACATGAAGTATTAAAAAATATTAAAATGTTAGATATCAAAAATAAAAACTTATATTAAAATGTTTAAAACATTAACTATTTAAAAATATTAGGCAAAGAGACACTGATCAAGAAACAGTATTACTTCTATAGGGTTGTTGGATATGCATATTTAATTCAGATTTTTTAAAATGTCATTTATTCTGGTTTAAAAATTTTTTAAATGAAAGGTTTTACCCTTGAAGAAAATTCTGTTCTACTACAGAATCTTTTCTGAATTTTTAAATGTCCTAATTATGAAGACGACATATATAAATTTTAACGGAAAACATGATTTTGAAAGTGTCTTTTTTATACATTACTTGGAAAAATAAAACAAAAATTTACTTTTCTTCTAGAAAAAGATTTTTTAAATGATTTTTTAAAAGTATCTCTTGTTCCTCTGTGCTTATTTATTGTTTAGAATAGAAGAAACATTTTCCATTCAACTGGTGTTAACTTTTCTTTTCATGGCTCCTTAATAGTTCTGATAACATTCTGCAGTCATTGTTTTCAGTCAGAAAAAGGTCATAAACTAAATGATATTGACCTTTTATAATTACCTACTTAATACTGCAGCACAGATGCTAAAGTATTTTTCCAAGTAATTAAATGTAAAAAATATTCAAGTATGTAATACATTTTTGATTGTTATGTATTCACACTTAATTACAATTAGTGTACAATTAGTGACATCTTAAACTGGGTTTGGAAGAGGTTATTTTAAAAAGTTTTTTTAAAAGTTAAAAAGTGCAATTAAAATTTTTCCTATCTAGATTAGGAAAACCAACCTTTACTTGGTTAAGACAGATGAGATTTTAATATAAGTTTACCTAGAAGAATTTTAACAAATTTTTCAATTTGTATACATTTGGGTTCATTGTATTTGATTTCTGATGTTATATCTGTAGTTGTATGTGCCCATGTTTAAGTTAAGATCACACAAGACTCATTATTGTTATTAATATTTATAGAAACCAAGCAAATCTTTGCTATCACTTTCAAATTAATTCAGAAATTACATTTTCCTTAAAGTACTTCTAGATTTCCAAAAAAATGTTTAGATAAGTAAATCGAAACAAATCTGTTATAGTTTATCTTAGATTGAATAATCTATGAATAGAAAATTCCCTGATTTTTAGCTTTTTGCCAAGTTTTTATTTTTTATTATATATGATCTAATTTTTATAAGTAATCTTTTAAAACAGATTTCAAGTTATTGAAGACCTTGCTGCATCACTGTTGACCTTTCCCCTGAGCCATTTTGTTGGGTACCTGTTAGTCTTTACCCTAGGAATTGAAGTATTAGTAAGTAATTTACCAGATTATAACATTTTCAGATTTCTTTATTATATTTGTAACTAATACTAAATGACTTCATTTTTTATTTTTTCTTTGGAATGCATCACTAGGTTCTCAGTTTTTTCTACCGCTATATGCTTACAGCTGGACTTACTGCATTTGCGACTTGGCCATTTCTCACTCAGCTGTGGACTCGAGCGAAGGTATAAGTACTCATTTTGACATAGGACAGGTCAGGAACTACATTGTTTTGACATATGTTTAACGTAAGGAATTGTTTATTTTTAAAGAAAAAGGTAGAGTGTATCCTTATATAAAGAGCCTGGTCCTTTTGACAGGAAGACTGACATTTACCTTTAATGTTTCAGTGATTCATTTAGACTTTCATATCAAAATGAGCCAGTTATGTAGTAATTGAAGTGCCATAAAAGCAGACCTGATATATCCATCTCCGGATCCTTTAACCTCAGATATGTAGATGATGGAGCACATGAGGAACGGCCCATAGCAGCACAGTGTCTTAGGAGGCCACACTCTGTACTTGAGTCAGAGGAGTCCCCTCCCTCCACACCCTTAGCCACTCATTTTTTTTTCCTGGAGAAGTGTATATTTGAGATAGATTATTTTAAAATATAATCACTCTTGATTTTCTTCCTTTAGCTAGGTAGGAAATTTCAGTGCTTCTACAAGGAGTATTGTCATGTTTCCACTTTCATACTTTCTGATGGCAGTGGCAGGAAGATAGAAATATCTTTTTACCTTATAAGAACCTATAAAATCTCCAATTAAGGCAGTTATTGATTTTTTTTTTGTCTTAATCTAATTACAAAGTATTTTTTATTTATTTTCCTTCTGGGCTAACTTATTTGATTATTATTGCAGGCCAGTTTTCTTATAGATATTGTCATCAATATATGGTTTAACATAAACTGAATGAAGCACTTGCTTTGAAATATCAGACCCAGGTTTACACCCTGGCTGTTCTTTTACTAGTTGTGGGCCTGGTACTGCAGTCATATGCCACATAACAACATTTCTGTCAGCAATGGACTATGGTCCCACTGTGACAGTGGTCCCATAAGATTAGAATGGGACAGGAAAATTGCTGTCACACAAATACTTACTATCATGTTACTATTTCCTTACATTATTCAGTGCAGTAACATGCAATACAGATTTGTAGCCTAGGAGTAATAGGCTATACCACATAGCCTAGGTGTGTAGTAGGATATACTGTATAGATTTATGTAAGCACAATCTGTGATGTTTGTACAATGATGAAATCACCTAACAACACATTTCTGAGAATGTATCCCTATCATTAAGCGACACATGACTGTACTGATATTTTAATTTCTCTGAGCTCAGTTTCCTTGTCTGAAATATTGTGAATAATAAAAACTTCCTCTTGATGTTACTGTGAAAATTAAATAAAATAATGCTCATATCATACCAAATACACTACTTTACAACCCAACAGGTCCTTCATAAAAAGTAACTATATTACTTTTTAAGTAAAGAGCTGTAAGGTTTTGCATTTCCTTTTCATTTTAGGGTCCTGTGGTCAGTGAAAAACTGATGACTGTTTTCTATACCACATTTGTGAAAGATAACTTTTTTCTTGATTTCAGATCACCTCACTGAGTTGGACTTTCTTCTCTTTGCTCCTGGCAGTGTTCCCACTGATGCCTGTTGTGGGTCGAAAGCCAGATCTCTCCCTAGTGTATGAATAATATTTTAATTTATTTTCTTTTCAATACCATTTTTTTCTCATTCAACAATATGAAATTTGAACCTAATCTTGGTAATGAGCTTAAAATCACGTTAACAAACTGAAAATTAAAATACTAGTATCAAACCATTAGTCAGGATTTGGCCCAGGCTCTGAGTCATTAAGCCTCCCTGGAGATGCTTTTGTGTCATCACAAACAATGAAATTGTACCAAACAATAACTTAAAATACCAAAAAAAATATATATATATATCTAGAAGGTTTTCTTTCTTTTGTATATTGGAGAATTGTTACAAGTTTTAGTTTCATGTGAAAAAATGTTCTGATGCCAAAATGAAAAGGTCTAAAAGCCATTGTATTATCCTTAACTTTGCCTTCAATCATGTCCACACTAAAATGTCTTAGGAAAATGAAATTTTCTCCTATTCTGATCTGATTGTAAAGATCTCCATGGGAGGAAACTCTGTTTACCTTGATAACTTTCCCATGTTTAATCACTGAAATTGTTCAAAAATTCTTCTGTGTACCTTACCTGAATTCCCCATTTCTGCTGTTACATTTATTTCTCCTCAATATGACTCCCCAAAATTTGTGAAATAATTGGTTACCTTTGCTTTTAACTGAACTTTTAAATAATTTTCAAGTAACCTATTTGTTGGCTGTTTGTATGTGTGTGCTTGGCAATCTAACTGTTCATTATTTCATTCAACATTTCTTCTCTTATTTTCTAATCATGTAATTATCTTTGTTACTTTCTTCTGAATTCTATAAGCATGTTAAAAAACATTTTAGCCTAATCTTTAAAGGATGAGAGTATATCTTTTTTGACTGAAGGAAGATTAAATAAACAATATATATTTTTTAAGTATGTGCTAATTTGTGAGGTTCTACACATTTTCTGTCATTTGTGTGAGAATACCAATATGGAATACATCAAGAATTTTCCTAGGAAGGCAATTTATTAACAGAGCCCAAAGTAATTGTATTGAATTCTAAGACCATACTATCTAAGTCAAATTTTATTAGAGTGTTACTGAGTCAAAATGTTTTGCAACTGTCATAAAGTATAAATAGTATGTGAGAAAATAAATTCAGGTATTTTCACTTATTTCTTGCATCAGATTGCTCTGTGAGCTCCTCTGTTGTTTCTATAAAGCCCCTTTCCTTCCTTTCATCAGTCTGCCTATCAGTCCTGCTCAAGCAGTATTGATAGTTGTGCAGAATTTATCACATGCTAAGAGGAAAAGAAATTGTGTAAATGGTCTCCATGGAAATTTGCTACTGGCATGTTCTATTAAAGATGAATGCAGGAAGCAAATAAACTTGTTAAAATTTGAGAAAACTAATTTGTATTTTTAAAAATTATGTTGTTTCCCTCTATACTTTAAATTTAAATTGCTCAGTGATTTTTAGTTTATGTTGGTTTCCTAGCTATATCTGCAACTTCTTTATTTTGATTCTTGGTTCATGGAGATTTCTACTCCCCATTTGATCTCTCGTGGCATCTCCCTTCTTTAGAGAATTACAAAGATGTAACTTTACGAAACATTTAAGGATAAAATTCAAGGAAAAAGCAAAAATATGTATAACATAGCTGTAATGTCCCTGTTACTCCAGTGCTCTGAAGTAAAAACATATTTGCCAGTAAGTTAAAGTACCAAATTATTTTTAAAAAGTAAAAAAAGAAAAAGCAAAAATTCTTGGTCATACATTGCTTTTTCTTTTTTTCCTTTTTTTGTCTCTTTTTAAATTGTTTTTTATTTATTTATCATTATACAATGTAATTGATTTTTGTGGCCCTTTACCAATTCTTCCTTTTTTCCTTTTCTAAATAATTAACACTTAGGAAAAATAGCTAAGAATCTTGATCATATATAGCTATTTTTCCTAAGTTTTAATGATAATCCATGTTGTATATATAACTACTTTTTTTCTTATGATTTTCAAAGAGTGTATTTAAAGAATCAAAACCTAACAAAAACCAAACATTTTCCTGGGAATTCCTGCTTTGCATTCTCCTTAACTGTCTAGCTCTGCATTTTGTTCTTTCTCATTTCTATTAAACCAACTCCTTTTCTTTTAGTTCTGTTATATTTGGGTTCCAAATTCTGCTGTCCTTAACATAATTTCAGTTGTCCTGTGTTATTCAGATTTTTAGGAGGTGAGAAATAGAGATCAACAATAGTGCACCTCTTTTTTGATATCAGTCACCTTTGACTTTAGAAGCTATACTTGGTGTTCTTGAAAAGTATAATTTGTAGTTTCATTACTATACAAATGTCTCACCTGCATGCTACTCTTGTGACCACTGTTCTACCCTTTCTTTAGCCAGGGGCAACTGAGGAAAGCACCATGGTCAATGACAGAAAGGACATTTGTTTGTCTTGCTAGAAATAATATAGATTATAAATGCAGAATTTTTTGTATGAGTAAGTCCTCATAGTCACAAAATATATGTTGTATATACTGATAATATACTTGTTTAGCTATCTTTTATATATATTTTTTTAATTTAAGCAGTTCATGCTAAGAATCATGGTAGTTGGTTATACATAAAATTTTAAAAAAACAAATCATAGAAATAAGGCAAAGATACTTAAAAAAATTATGGGGAAAGTTTACAAATAACCCCATCCCTACTGTATATTTATCTAAAATTTTTATTTCTGTTATACCTGTGTATCCTTTTGCTGCTTCATCTTGATTAAACCAAATGACTAAGAGATTCTGCGTTAGAGTAAAATATCTCATTGTTTTCATGTTATATGTTCAGTAAATATCTTAAGAAAATTTTAAATTGTGAATTGTATTTTTAAACAGAATGGGTGCAGGCTTGCTGGTTCTTCTGCTCTCCCTGCTTGTTGTAATACCTCTTATAAAAAGAAAAGATGGTTTTGTAAAGGAAGAGCTATTCGTATATCTATTACAGGTGAGTTCCAGATTTTCAATAATATGCTATACTAATGATATACCAAAATGTATCTTATGGTTGTATTAAAGTATGTTCTTAAGATGCCATTGTGTTTATGTAACAATATCTGCCAGCTAAGAAGAAAGTTTTCTGTTTAAAATAGTACATGGGAATACGTTCTCTAAAAAGTATGGCATAGCAAAAAGGTCAAGAGGCAGCCCAAAGATACCTAGAGAGCAGAGATTAAGGAGACTTAAGAAGCATCTGTACTGACCAGAGTTGAGCTGGAAAAGGCTTCCTCTGGACTGAGATTTTCTATTGTCCTTATTTAGGTCAGGAAAAAGCAACCTTTGAAGTGAAAGCAGCCTGGGAATAGCCAGTTTAAGACTTCAGATGATGTCCTAGGAGAAAATAAATTTAAGTTCGGTTAGTGGCTTTGGTGTGAAAAGAACTTTGAACTTGCTGTTTCAAAATTGAGTCAGTTTCTAATTATGCTGCATATTAGATGTGTGATTTTCAGTAATTTGACTTTAGTTTTTAACCTATTTAGAGATAATAACTAATAGCGTTGTGCGAATTAGAGATTATATAATGTAATATTCTGTAAAATGTTAACTTTTTGTAGATAAGGTTGGAAACCACTTTTTTTTCTTTTAAATGAATAAATAAATATCCACATCAGGAACACTGACAAAAAACAAAACTCATGAGTTTTCTCAAAACCTTTTCTCAGAGCAAAGCTGAAATAATAGAAATTGTTTCTAAGAGCACTCTGAGATAAAAATATACCACCCTTAAAAGATATAACAAGTTAAATTCATTTGTGGAGAGCAACAGAGAACTTATAAAAAGAGAAGAAATAATTTTGTCAAAGTTTCTGTCAAGACACTGGAACAAATGTTTCATTTGAAGTGGTGCACAGACTGGCTTAACACTAAAGCCATACAAGCTTTGACAGGATTTACCTATAATAATGAGTACTTCGACAAAAATGAGTGTTTCTGAATCTCACTTCAAAGGAGCAAAGAATATCATACTAAAATTCTTTTTTTTCCTTCATTTAAGAAAATTTAAAAAAAAAATTTATTCATTTTTTATTGTGATAAAACATATACAACAAAGAATTGCCATTTTAAGCATTTTAAAACATACAGTTCCATGGAATAAATTACATTCAATGCTATGCAACCACCACCTCTATTTCCAAAACTTTTTTGTCATTCTAAACATAAATTCTGTAACGATTAAGCAACAATATTTCACTACTCTTTCCCGCCACCCCTCCCCCATTTCTAACCTCTAATCTACTTATGTCTCTGAATTTTTTTTTCTTTTTAATTTATTTTTTCTTAATTGATCCTTGTTAATCACATATATTTATGGAGTACAATATGATATTTGGGTATGTTTATACTGTGTGCAATGATCATATCAAGGTGTTTAGCATATCTGTCATCTAAAACATTTGTCACCTCTGTGTTGAGAACATTCAACATCCTCTCAACTAGCTACTCAAAGTTATACAGTAATTTGTTGTTGACTGTAATCTCCCTGTATTGCTATAGAATGCTAGATCTTATTCTTCCTATCTCTGTATAATTTTATATCCATTGACCACCATTTCCCCATCCTCCCCTCCTATTTCCCCTTACTAGTTTCTAGTAACCATTACTACTTTCTACTTCTATGAGATCAACTTTTTTAGCTTCTGTGTATGAGTGAGACCATGTGATATTTCTCTTTCTGTGTCTGGTTTATTTCATTTAACATAATTTTCTCTAAGCTCATTCATGTTGCTGCAAAGTGCAGAATTTCATTCTTTTTTTACGGACAAGTAATATTCCATTGTGTGTATATACCACATTTTCTTTATCTAATCATTCATTGATGGCCATTTAGGTTGGTTCCAACTCTTGGCTATTGTAAATAGAGCCATGATAAACATGGGAGTGTAGGTATCCTTTCAACTTGTTGATTTCCATTCCTTTGGGTATATACCCGGTAGTGAGATTGCTGGAACATATAGTAGTTCTATATGTAGTTTTTAGAGAAATCTCCATATTGTTTGCCATAATGGCTATACTAATTTACATTCCCACAACAACGTTTGAGAGTTCCTCTTTCTCTGCATCCTCACCAGCATTTGTTATTTTCTGTCTTTTTGTTAATAGTTATCCTAACTGGGGTGAGATGACATCTCATTGTGGTTTTGCTTTGCATTTCTCTAATGATTAGTGATGTTGAGCATTTTTTTCAAACACCAATTGACCACTGGTATGTCTTCTTTAGAGAGATGTCTCTTCAGTTCATTTGCCCATTTTTTAATCAGATTATTTGCTTTTTTACTGTTGGGTTTGAGTTTTTTGTGTAGTCTGGATGTTAATCTCTTATCAATGCATAGTTTGCAGATATTTTTTCCCATTCTGCAAATTGTCTTTTCACTCCATCAACTGTTTCCCTTCCTGTACAGAAGCTTTTTGGTTTGGTATAATCCCATTTGTTTACTTTTGCTTTTTTTTTTTTCCTTTTTGTCTTTTTCCGTGTCCGGCAACGGATTGCAACCCTCAGCGTCGCCCCCGCACCGGGCTGGGACCAGCAACGGGATCGCAACCCTCGGTGTTGCTCCCGCGCCTCGCTCAGCCAGTGAGCGGGAACCGGTCCGCATGTGGGATCCAAACCCTTGGTGGGAGCACCGCCGCGCTTCCCAAGCGGCGCACTATAGCAGTGCGCCACCGGGCCAGCCCTTACTTTTGCTTTTGTT